GATTTGTGAGAGAGAGGGACAGAGGGAGGGTTGGGGGGCAGGGGAGAAGAGCTACCACAGCCATGTCCATGTGTCTGTGTACTGTACGTGTGTGCCCGCATGAATGCATGTACAGTATGATTCGCAGAAAAACATTGATCCTGTAGTGGAAACTAAAAAATCCATTAGAAATCCAGTAGTTAAAAAAAGAACAAAATGTGACAGATTGGTGCTGGTGGCGGTTCGCACAGTCTCTCTACATGGCTAAATCATTTCCTGTTCATACAGTGTCAAAGTACTGTTTTAAAGATCACAAGCAACTCACTTTTTCTGTTTTGACATAATCTATGTATCATGTATATCTCATCATTATTGTGTTTTATGACTGAGGCAGCATTCGCTGTAGGTTTTTCTGTTCCAGTCACTTTACGAACAGTGTGCCCTTTGTACTGCACCTACTGTGTTATTATCTTTTTATGAAAATAAGCAGAGGGTACTGGTGTGTTGTCGTCTGTTATTTGCCTATATCATTCTTTCTCTTGTGCTGCCTTTCTCTTTTTCTCTCTTCCTAACCTGGCAAACCTGCCAAGTGAGTAGAGCTCTGAAGTCAGTGACAGATATAGATTTGAGGTCCAAGCCACACCTGTTTTGTTGAGACTTTAAGGGGCAGGAGGGCTTGAAGGTTTCTGTATGTCCTGCCACCCCCTTCTCTTCAGTTATAATAGTCTCCCTCCACCCTTCTTGCTCCTTGGTACTATATATCCACCTTAACAGCCTCCTTTCTAAATGCCTTCTCTACATGAATTTCTCCTTACATGTGCTCACCCCAAACCCCCATCTATCAGCTAGTTGGCAATGGCATTGTTTTTAATCATCAGAACCTCAAAATTATTATTATCGCTTCTGATGCAGCAATTAAAACTTCAGGTCAGAGGCACAACGAGCGGTGATCAGCAGCCGAGCTGAGAAGTTTTAATTAGACGATCAGAACCATTAATGCACAAAAAAAAGGTGTGCGCTGGGAAATTAACGGGAACGTCTTAATCAGGGTTAGCGACTCCGAAGAGGAGTCAAGTGAACAGAGAGCAAAAAACAAATCATTTCCGCACCACTGGGACAAAACTCAATTAAATATGCATGTGGAAAAATGGAAATTTTTCAGCATCGGCTGCACCGACTGTTGGAAAACTGTAGCAAAATCTCACAGCGGGGTCGGCGACCTGCTTATTGTTATTCTTGTGTAATAAAAATGAGAGAGGGGCCAGATGCCGGGGTCTGGGTGTCGTGGCGTAGTTGTCGATCAGTGACGTTCTGCTTGACTTCTTTGCGGCTGCCGCCACCACTCTACTACGCGGGGGTAGAGAAGAAGAAAACATTCTTTTCTTACAAACTGTAATTTCACAGAAATAAAAACATGGTAATTTTCAAGTGTGTCTGTGTATGTTTGCCTCAGTGATCTCCCTGAAACACACACGCACTCCTACTCGCTCACGCATACATGTCCCTTGAGAGCCAGAGACACAAAAGGTTCACTGAGCTACACACAGGGAGCTGCAGCCTTGTCGATTAATCTGCCAAAGGTTCATAAAGTTATATCAGGGCTTTTTAAAATAGCTAGAGCAACTCTCTGTTACATATTGTAAAATAATCCTGAGCTGAACAGACATGAGATAAGCTTCAGTTTAAACAAGTAATATCTACCTCTACCTTTTATAGACAGACCCTCCTGTGTGTGCACTTCATGCAAACTGACAACACTGCAGGGAGTCGGTGTGTTTATGGTGCGGCGCTGCAATTTGAATGAACAATAAAGTCAAGTTATTCAGTTTTCTATATGTTGTATATGTGACTTTACATCTTCCATAAGATGATCACAAAAATGTTCTAGACATAAGCTGCCTCGTCTTGTGTGCCACAGAGAGGTAAAGCCGAGACCTCACAGTTAACTCCCACATCCTTTACTTGTGGCTGCCTTGATTACAGTCTGTGCACGCTCGCTCGAATAATGCACTTCCAACAGCGTTATTAGGATTTGAAACACCACTTGATTGGGCATGATATCATTCTGGCACACAAACAGAGTCTCTGCATCAAAAACCAACAAGACCTGTGGGGCTTAGAGCTGTGGAAGAGTAAGTTTGTCAGTGCGGAGGACTAGACTTTAACACAAGCGGTGTCATCCAACGCTGACGAGAAACAGGGCCCAAAAGAGCTTTGATGCACTCATTTTTGACTGAAGATGAAAAAGAACCTGACCTAGTCCACGTGTATTCAAAATAGTTTCTTGACTTTTTCCTCTGGTTTTGGCCATATACAGACAGTATATGGCGCTCCTTTGTGGCCCTGCACTGTTTCCAGTAAAAATAGTGTCACCGTTAACATAAGCAGTTGGAAAAATTAGTTTCAGCTGTTGTGTTCAAATTCAAACCCGTGTATTTTTTTCAAACTCCCAGTGCTTACTGAGGTGTCTCCTCCTTGACAATTAGCACACCCGGCTAAAACAGAGTGTAAATAATGTCCAATGCATGTGACAGTGTTGTTTTTCTTTCTGATATTCGTTAATAAGGCAGAGTGCTTACTGGACTCTCTGAGAGGTGGGGGAGCTGGTCCCAGAGGGAAAAGTTGTTCTTTCATGTAGGTCCCCACAGATTTTATCTTGTTGTATGCTATCATGCACACAAACGATTTGAGGTAAACAACATTTTGTTACTATAGCAATCCCTATTGTAAGCAGTGGCAAAAAGAGGCTGTGCACAGAAACCCTCACCATAAATAATAGTTTAGACAGCTTCCATAAACCATCGAACTGTAGCATGTTCCTCCTCAGGGGAAGCTCACAATATTAAATTTGTTTTAAAGCACGCCATACCTTTAAAAAGAAAACACTGAATATGTGTTTTAGATGTCTGATAATTGAGTTAGATACTCAGCCAGTACCACTTGGTCCTCTATTCTCGCTCCTTATTGTTAACAGAAAATCAAACATAAATAGGCACTAATGGAAAGAAACAACTGTGTAGGGGTCATTTCCTACAAGGAGCTTAAGATTGCAATGCTAAGGAAATCAGTAGTTAAAGCATGACATACTGAACGCAGTAAACAGAAAAAATGACCTCCACTGCAACACCCAAATGACCTCAATCTTCCTTTGGAGAGTATTTCTGAAAAAGAAAAAAAAAACTTGAAAATTTATGTCTTCCACTTCCTAATAGTTTTTCCATGTCTTTTTCTTTTTTAAATAGCGTCTTCTAAAAGGTGACCCGTTCACCCCTGCCTACAATTGTCTAACACTAAATTGTGGAGTAATGTGCCACTGACATCTGGCCACTTTAAAACTACATAATTCCTGCAGTCATTGTTTCAAAGAGGAAGACCACAATGTAAATACAGTAACTGAGAAAGCATGTGTGGGGAGCAGGGGTTGCATTGCCTGGCGTCAGGGTGATCTGTAAACTCCTTCAAATTATATATCCTCTAATGATTCCACAGCTTTGCAAAAGAAAATGAAAACAGGATTTTATGCCGCACCGATGTGATTTACATAATGCTGGCAATGGCTCACACATGATTGTGCTTGGCTTTATGGCTGAGAGGGAAAATGAAGAGGCTCGCATTGTTATAGAAAGTGAATTGAGTCTTTAAGGTAGAACTTTGTTACCTCTGATATCGCACATTTTTCTCAGCTGAAATGGTCTGTCTGTAGCTTAGCATAAAGTATTAACCACAGTGTGGCTGAGTTAAGATTCAATACAACCTCACACAAGAAGAAATATCTCTGCTGTGGCATGATATTCAACTGTTTTCACAGAGTCACAACTGAGAAAGCTTTACATACTACTGAATAAGAAACTGAATCCAAGTTATCATGCTTGTCTGAACCCTGGTGATTCGACACTGCTTTTTTTTTAATATCATAAATACTGTGTTACTCACAGTCACCACCTCTTTCCTTCTTTAAAAGTTATTTACAACTTGATAGAGATCTGGCCTTGATTTTGAGTCTGGAAAACGCTCTTGGAAGGTGAACTTTGGTGGCTCTGGAAATAAAGTGAAAGGTAACAGAGTGCAGTTTCTGCCCTAAAAAGGCAGCTCTGGATATGGAATGCCACAGGCAGCTGTTCCTGCCTCATCAGAGGACATGTTATAAAGATAGCCCCACTTGGGTTGAAATAATGCCACCCATTCCTGCCCCAAAGCACACTCTATCATGCTCTATTGTTCAGGGAGGCCACACCAGGGGGGGAAAAGGTTGAGACTACAGTATGCCATGTTGAGTAAAGATATGTAAAACAGGAACTACAACAGTTTTTGCCTGTTGTATCCATGTCGCTCCATTGGCTCAATCAACAGTAAAAGATAAAGTGTAGAAAGAGCTTACATGCATGATGCATTATTTTCCTTTTAATAAAGCAAAACCAGCAGCCTCTAAGGAAACAGTTACTGAGTGTAATTCCACTGAATAGCCGACATGAGAACACGGCTCCAAAAAGCCCAAAAGTGCTCAGCATTTTCACTCCACATCCTGACAGCTTTAATGCTATCCAGCCCCCCACTCAGTGGTAGGACCACAGGCTCTCGAGGTGAGAGTGAAGATAACATTTCACAGTGTCTCTATAGCGCTGTCATGTGAAGGATTATGTAGTCATGTATTTGCTGCTTGTAATACCGTAGGGGGTCTGATACCTATCTGCCTGTGGTTTCAGCCGGCTGTGCTTTTTTCTCCTTTTTTTTTCCATCACTGTGTCATACTCTGAGCTGGCCGAAGAAGTGTGACTTAGAAAGATATGTACAGTATCTCTGTGTGTCCTTCTACTCTTGTGCTGTTGTTAAGTGCTTTTGGATGTTATTAATAGCAGCAGTCACTGTTGTTCGCTGTCGTTTTTTTTTTCCATTCTGATGCTTAAAATTGGTACAAGTTACCGACATGGAAAAGCTGGTTGAAAGCTGCACAACTAAAACTAATGAAATACATTGTAATTAATACCTCTCTTTTTTTTTTTTTTTGCTCTTGTTTCCACCAGCTGAAAGGAGTTTATGCACTGAAACGACCTCAGGAAAATCCAAGATGGCCGCCAAAAGGAAAGGTGGCCTAAAACTCAATGCTATCTGTGCCAAGCTGAGCCGCCAGGTGGTGTTCGACAGCAGCTCCCAGAATGCAGAGGGAGACCAGAGTGTAGCAGAAAACAGTGAACGTGGTAGTTCCCACTACGATGACAATGAGACCAACTTTCCCGAGAGCCTGAGTCTAAGTCAGAGCCTAGAAGAGGACCAGAGGAGACGCGAGGCCATCGAGAAGTGGGTCAACGGCGAGTACGGCGATGAGCCGCTAGCTCCTGAGGATGAACAAGAACATGAACACAAAGTTAACAATGACGAGGGTGGCCCTCCTGAAGGCGTGTACATGGTACAGCCCAAAGGCTGCAGCGATGAGGAAGACAATGCAGAGGAGGCTGAGCCCATGGCAGGGTCTCAGGATGGCAGTTACCATGACGACAAAGAACCCGAAGACAGGCCTTCAAAAGATGATACCTACATGGCGCCAAGTGAGGCCCAGAGTCGCCAAGCGCCTCTCTCCTCTCCAGGTACACATTGACTCTCTCTCCCTGTGATGTTCCTGCCATACTCTGATTTACACTTGACCCTTAAACCAACTCTACCTTTGCCCCTCAAAACATTCCACTCTATAGTATTAAGGGGCAAAGGCTTAGATAAAGTGCAGGTGACATTGCCACATCCACATAAGATTAAGTGTGCCCATTACTGGAAAGAGATGCTCTAGAGTTACATTATGAATAGCCAGTGACATTATTGCCCTAAAGACAGATTTAGCTGGCAGGCTAGGGGGAAAACAGAAACTTATCAGTGTGTGGTTAACTATATGAAGGAATTCATACATGGCGTAGGCTGAAGGAGGCCGTTTCACATCAGCTGTGGGTCAAGAGCACATGGCAGGGCTGGGCTAAGCTTCATATTACACCCAGGATTACATACTGAGTATATGATTTTTCCTTAAGCTCACTAAACTTAGCCACTGCCTTAAGCTCCTCTGTTACATGGAGTTGTCAAAGTCTAAAACAGAGCAGTTATATTTCAGTGCCATGTCACGGTTAAGTATGTTCTTATCTTCCTGCAGAAAACTGTATTTATTGTTAGAAAACAATTCTATACTTCTATATGTGCCTCAATACTACAGTATGTGCTCTTGTAAAAGACTCATAATAACCCCTGTTTAATTATTACATGACATACCCTCAGTATGTAATAATTTGCCAATTATTATATAGATAAGGCTGGTGGAGACTAGCAACAGTCATTCTGAGGCAGCAAGAGTGCGTGTTAACAGCACCAACAATCTTTTAAGAAAGCACCTTTTACAGTTGCACACTTTGTGACCCTTGAAACTAGATGCACACGCATTATAAAAAACATTGGCCTTTGTAAAGCAGAAGTTAAAACACTGAGCTGTAAAAAGGAGAAAAAACATAGCTCAGTTATATGAAGAGATAAAGTCTGTTTCACTGACACCTAGAGAGAAAAAAACAACAATTTGCAAGTGAGACCGGTTGTTGCGGTACAAAAGCAAGTTTTGTTTTGTGCTTGCTCACCTCAGTTTAACAGGTTTTCGGTCTTTCATCTAGGTTCAGGTATCTACGTCAGAGTCATGTACACATGCTCTTTTTTTGGTCTTCATTTCTTTTTGTTTTCACCAACAGTAGCTCTGGCCACACAGAAATGGGGGCAGGGGCTTCTCAGAAAATGAAGCAGGTTTCATGTCTGCAGCAAAAAGGCTTTGTGGTTTTAATTAGTCATTTTCTATATATTTCATGGCCATAAAAGCCTGTCTGTAAATACGTATAACTGTTGTGTAGCAGGCCTACACCTTTCCCTCTGTTATACTACCTTACATCTCACAACAAAGCTGGAGTGTTTGAAGACTGCGGGGAGAGCGAACTGCATTAGTTGCAAATCTTGTCTTTAAGAGTGTTTTTTTTTTCCAGAGTAACTCTTTGTTGATTGTAACTAGGGCATCTATATTGCCATGTTTCTGCTCAGCTCACAATTAAAACATTTTGTCCCCCCCCCCTCCACCGTCTCGCCGCTGTCTTTCAAAGGCTGATGCGGAGTGCACATAATTATGCATATAAACATAGTGGCTTAATTATCTCTCACAACATCAGTGACAATGTAATTAACAAACATTGCAAGATCAATGAGAGAAACTGCGACCTTCAAAACATTTAACTCCTCACATTGAGGCATCGTGCGGATTTCCTATCAGTGCAAAACCCCAGAATACTTTTCCTAGATAATTTAGACATCACATTAGAGCCCTCATAAGCCAGGCAACGGAAGGGCCAATGAATAAAAAAACTATGAAAGCAATGACGGAGATGCTCGTAGCGATGGATCAAACAGGCTTGACCATGACTTCCATTTGCAGTTCTGGGTTCACTGTAAAAGGTTGTTGTTCATTTCAAGCTCTTTCAAAGCCCTCTGTATTCACTGCCTGTTAATTAACTAAGCAAGCAGCAAGGAAGTTTGAAGCCACATACAATTTTGTCAAATTAATCCAAACAAATGCACGTCATGCCATTTATTCAAACCAGCTATTTATTAGGATACCACTGTCCGTTTAAACAAAACACACTTAAGTTGATTCCCTCATGTGAACTCATAATGCAATAATTGCTGTACCATATAAAAGAATGACACTGTTCAAAACTATCTCTGACCGAACTCCACTGAAAACATTTAGAGGGTATTTAAACTCTTGATTAGTCCATATATAGCCACTAACATGCACCTTTATCATCAGCGACACCTCTGCCTCTCAGTCTTGTGAGCAGGGAAGCTGTGCCACTCTGATGGCCATTTTTGGTTACCGACAGTAAAAGGAGATATAATGTCCATCTGTTATCATATCTTGGAGGGAAAATGTGTCCTAATTGCCTCTAATATAGACCAGGCAGGTCTGTGTCATGTGTTAGATTTTGTTTGCCTGAAGTGTCGGTATTAGAAACCACTTCTTTGTAGACTTTCCAGTTGCACTAGAGAGAGTGCAGAGTCAAATGTCAGCCACGAGTGAAAGTGATGAAAGTCAAAGGAAAAGGGACATTTATTAATTCATGTATTAATTTAGTTATTTTTTTCATGCAGGTGGTAGAGCCAGTCTCACCTTAAACCATGCACCATACTGTACATACTGTAGCTTCCTACTTGGTGTCACATGGTCTCACTACGAGGCAGCCAGAAGGACTGAGTTGAAAACTCATTTACATCGTATTTTAAAAATATTAGTTCTTCTTGGTCCCAGGCACAATCCATTCAAGTTCAGTCATTTGCCTTTGATTGATAGCGTGTCACATGGCTGTAGTGATGAATAAAGAGACTTTGTTAATTTTTCGGAGAAGGTGATGATAATACTCTAAGCAAATAGAATATTTATAAAAAGGTTGTTGGAGCTCATGACAGAAACCACTTGTCTTTCTGCAATAATTAGCAATTGACTCTGCCACTAAAATTGTAGATGTTTTCTTTAATTTAGCACCTACTCCAAAGCTGAAACTCTCACAGTCAGTACAAATTCAACTGTTACAATTTCTATATTAGTCATTAGAATGACTTTTGTCTTTTTATTTTGCAATTTTAAAATATGATTCCTACCCTATCCATGTTTATTCTGCCTTGCTTTTTAAATAACATTCCTCACTTCACTTTGACCTGGAATGCCTTTGTAAATACAGTAGCAGTAAAATCCAAAAATGTAACAAATGTCTGTATTAAACAGTATGCCACTCTGTGGTTTCAATACAAGGTAGTTTTGATAAAACAATTTGTGGCAAACATGCAGGTATTGCTTCTCAAATACCTGATCCATTTGTCTTAAATTTTTCATGCCCTTTCGATCCACCAGATACTCTTTCATACTGATCCACCATGCAGAGGAGCAACCCCAACACACTGAATGGAAATTTGGGGATTATTTTACATGCTCCCCAGGAGATGTGAAAAGCAGGGCACAGTGACTCATTTAGCAATACTGAGAAATATGAGACAAGAGCAGAAATATTTGTGTATTAATTACCTGGGTGGTAGGTGGTATTACCCCTCACCAGGTCATGTGTGGCCAGGTGATGACGGCCAAGAATGAAATAAGATGGCCAAAGGTTTTAAATGACCCAGGTGAAATTATCGTCTGGTGCATTATTAGCATGTGAGGGTTCTGGTGTGCTCTCTCACATGCAAACGGACACAACAGGAGATATTTGAAAATGAGTTGGATCAGCAAAAACAACTCACATGTCCTCCATCTTTTCTTCTGTTTATTTCACTCTCATGCACCCTTCTTCTGTACCTATTCCCCCATGTATGCACTTCTGGTTCACGTTAAGCTTTTATCCCTCCATTGCTTTCAGCCCATAGCATTTTTGCCTCTTCCCTACTTTCTGACCCCTTGCACTAACCTGGGTGAAAGTTAATGGGCCAGAATTAATCTCCACATAATGCAATTAAACTATACATTGACTATATTTCGCCTATGTCCTTGGGGAACTTGTCTAATTTAATGGACTCTAAAAATGAAAGTGATGTTTCAGTTCATAAATGTGTAAAAAGAGGAAAGGATTCCTTCTGTTCATTTTGAAGGTGACACAATAACTGTGTTGTGTTAAACTACTCCATAGGGGATTTTATTAAATAAATTTAACTACTCTGCAGATAGATGTTACAATTCTGTCATTTTTTGATGTTTAGGATAAGTCATCATAAAAACAAAAATTACAGTTACAATAAAAGTGCTGATAGTCTTACTTCATTTCTAAGAAGCTGTATAAAGAGATTTTTTTCTAAAGGTTTCCTTGTATATTTTATATTTTGTATATTTTTTTCACCTAATGCGAAGTTGTCACACTCTTATTGTATATTTAGAGTATTTATTTAAACCATTTCCCTCAAAAGTAATTCTGTAATTAAATTTGATAAACTGAAACTTTGCTTATTCGGTGCATCGTTTCATACAGTCATCTGCAAATTCTGCAAAACTGACTTATAGTGCAATGCAAACAGGAAGAGCATTGCCTTAGCTTGTTTGTAGACACAGTAGTACACGGGCATGTGGAGATGGTAGTGTAGCTTGCAGTGGAGAACCACTTTTCCTGTTGTTAAATTGACTACAGTTCTGAAATAACAAGGATAATGGCATCACATCAATTATAAAACTTTCATAGTTCTGAAACAGATAGGTATGGTAGATGTAGTTCTAGTAGGTTCGCAGTCTTACATTTTTACAGTGCAGTAGCACCTTAGCCAAAACAGTGAGGTGTTTCATTAATCGGGTCAATATATTTGTACATTTGTAACTCAAAGCTACATTGCAAGATTAATCCATTTGTAATTAACTAAATTAATTGTCAGATATAGACTATCCACTTAGCTTCAAAGTATAGCGACAGTGTAACACTTGTCGAGTCAGCATCAATCATCAGTCATTTGGCTTCTGAAGACATCTTGAGCAATAGGTTAAGTTGGGAAGTTGGGTTCATTTTCACTACTCAAATAAAAAAAAAAAGACTGATATATGTACTATATGCTGTTTTAGCAAGTAAATACTTTGTTACAGTAATGCCATACAGCATCAGTGAGGGACTCTAAGGTTTACTAAACTTTAAATCCATTTAATTTTCACCTTTTCAAGGAAAACTCTGAATGTAATAGTTCGATTACACAGCATCTTACAAAGGTGTTTTCTTCTGCTCTTTCTTCTCTGTGTAGGAGAAGCATCTGCCCTGCGAGACTATGCAGCTAACACCATGAATGAGTTTTTGGGAATGTTCGGTTATGATGATCAGCAGGTAAGGGATGAACTGACCAAGAAGATCAGCTTTGAGAAGCTCAAAGCCGCTACCTCAGACCCCTCATCCCTCAGCAGTGAGGAGGCCTCACGGCGTGCTCGCTTCTCCAAGTATGAAGAGTACATTCGCAAGCTAAAAGCTGGTGAGACCCTACCTTGGCCCATGCATGCTTCCCCACCCAAACCAGATGACCTCAACTCAAAACTGGCCCAAGACAAAAATGCTATCATGCTGCAGACCTCGGGGTGCCTCCCAGGGGCTGAAGCACAGATCTACCCCTCCAGCCTAGACCACAAACAGCCAGGAGGAACTCAGCTGGGCACGTCTCAGCCACCCAACCCCTCACACATGCAGAACATGGTGTCCCGAGCCTCCAAGTATGACTTCTTTATTCAGAAGCTGAAGATGGGTGAGAGTTTACAGCAGCAGAATGGTAACGCTTACAAGCGTCCCTCCAAGTATGACCTGGAGAACGTCAAGTTTCTGCATCTCTTCAAGCCTGGTGAGGGCAGCCCCGATATGGGCGGTGCCATCGCCTTTAAGACAGGGAAAGTGGGCCGCCCTTCAAAGTATGATATCAGAACAATTCAGAAGCTGATGCCAGGAAATCCCGAGCCCTCACTGATGCCTAATGTCCTCGCTACAACACCAGGAAGCTCGGGAGCTTCTGGTGTCCCCACTGTAGGCGCAGCTGGGGCCAGCATCGCTCCAGGGCTCTCGATGGACCAGACAGGACACATAAGCTTCAACAGCTCTGATTATCTAAAGTCCAGCTTTTCCAAGACTGACTCCATTACCACGGGCACTGTCTCCTCCGTGAAGTAAGTCTACTCAACCATCGTCACAAGAGTCCTAAAGCACAAACAGTACTTTTTTAAAATACAGTTTTGATCTGCAGTGAAATACAATTACAGATAGATCCAGATAGATCATGCTGATTTGGGAATATCTAAATCATGTCTGGGAATATTAGTGTTGTACAAAAAATAATTGTGAAAACTTTTATCCATCCATCCATCCATCCATCATCTATATGGCTTGTTCCTGAATAGGGTCGCGGGGCAGGCTGGAGCCAAACCCAGCTGATGTTGGATGAGAGGTGGGGTAAAACCCCAGACAGGTTGCCAGTCTATCACAGGGCTGATACGTAGACAAACAACCACACTCACTCCTAGGGGCAATTTACAGTCAACCTAAGCTGCATGTCTTTGGACTATGGGAGGAAGCCAGAGTACCTGGACAGAACCCATGCAGGCACAGGGAGAACATGCAAGCAATGCACAGAAAGTCCCCGGGTTGGCCGGGGCTCTAACCCGGAACCTTCTTGGCTGTAGTGCTAACCGAAAACCTTTTTGCAAATCACTAGATTTATCACGTGACTATATTGCCAACCAAAGTTCAAATGCTATGAAATTTTAGTACTTGTGTGATTTTCTTTAATAATTTTATTTAGGTTTATCTACAATGTTTAATATATTATATTAGCAGGATCTTTACAGCTGTATCATTGAACACTGGATTTCACTGTTGCCAGACTCTGCACCCAGTGAAATGTGATCTCTACTGTAGGCTAACATGAGGCCTACATGCTTACATAAGAGTTCAGCAGTATTTTAAACATGGCTTGAGTTGTTTTACAGCTCAGTTTGAAGCTTAGTTTGGGTTTCATTTAATGTCTGTTGAATTTGTCATACTTGTTGCAGATTGCACCAAATGTATAGATGGACTAGTGAAATAAGTGTTTTGCCAAAAATTCAAAATGGTGGAAATTCTCTGTTGTTGACAGTAAACATGACTTAGACATGTCTGACTAAAGAACCAAAGAAAAAAATTTAATTTGTACGTTGTAGTATGTTTGGGTGAGAATGTATAGCTTTACAAATTGTAACTTGGCGGTGCTGTTCACACCAAAGCCTAATGAGTTACTCCTTGGTCCATGACTGCACTTCACAATCTAATTGAAATCTGTTTAGCAGATTTTGACATACACAGCTCACAAACTGAATGACAAATTGACAGACAAACTGTGCAGAAAACATGACCTCCTTGGCAGAGTTGTCAATAAGGTGATAAAATATACAGAACTTGAGGAGCAAGAAATTACAGTAAATATCCCATGTTCTTACTGACAAAAATATTGTGACACCCTGCATTAGATATTTGCACCACAAAAATAAATACTGCTTACAAATCTGATATTAAATCACATAACCTGTCATTAAAAATTCTAATTTAAAGTTTACGGGTGGATTGAAAAGATTCCAAGCTCAGAGGTCTCTCTCTTTCACACTGATAGCCTCTCAGTGGAACGCCTTGAAGCTAATGTGAAGCTCACATACACTTAACTGCTACTGTGAGTCAGTTAGCCTAACGCAAAGGTAATTGCTACCTCCACAGCAGCCAACAGGAATGTAGTGTGAAATAGCGCATAGCGCCCAATAGGTCCACGACATGATGAGTTGCGAAGGCACATGAAGTGTTTACTCGCTGTAGCACTCCATGGAGACTGATTTAGCACAGTCATCGCAAAGTGACTGACTTCTTTCGTTTGGCTAGGGTGTAACAACTCTCCCTTTAATTACTTTGGAGCCATGACTAACCGCCCGGCGAGTCACAGGGGCCGACTCAACACTGCCTGACGAGTGCACTTTAAAGGAAGCAAATGAGGGGTTTGGGGAGCTAGCCTACAGTGGTGTGCACTACTAGTAGGAAACAGCTCCCAGTGTCTGTTTGATTGGTTTTGACCTTGTCTCTAGTTAGTCAAGACCTATCAAAGACACTGTTCAAGAGCCCTTGGGCACTGTCCCCTGAGGCTTTGGCCTTTGTCAGACTGGGGCTCAGTGGAGCTGCAAGCTTGGCTAACTGACCCAGTCTGGTGCTTGTATATGGAGAAGGGGGTGCTGGGGAGAATGTCTTGCAGCACATCCTCCCCTCTGGGCCAGATTAACCTCAGGTCATCCCCCGTGTGGAGCTGCTCACATGGAGCTAAATGCCACTGCTGAGAGAGAGTAAGCAGAACCAATACTGTATTATGAAGGGAATTATATCACACATGATAAAAAAAAGCACACAGCAGTCCTCAGCACACTCTGTAACATGATAAATTCTTTTTGATTTCCTGTTTTGAAGCGAATCCAACAGAGTTGAAACTGGTACTAAGTCAATTAGCTTGATCCATATGCACCTGAAGCTGCGGTATTGTCTTACATCTTTGTTTGAACAGTCCAGACTGATTGGAGTCAACCTCTCATCAGCATTAGAGTCAAGGCCCCTAGAGATGATCAGAAAAGACCATTTCAGAGCTTTTCTTCCACATCTCCATTATCCAGTTTTGCATATGAGCACTCACCAAAATACCCCCATAAAAGATTAATGTCCCTTTGCTCCTGCATTTTGCCTTTCATTGGTTCGGAGACCATGCATCAAAGTGTGTGCCTTCTATCTCTGATTCATATGGCACATGAAAATGCTGTTATGCTACAAGAAAATGTATATTGATAGTCCAAAGTTTGGGAGTGGCTTGTAAGTAAATATTGTGTCAGTTTGTTTTTATTAACAACAGGCAGCCCAACCTCACCATTAATCGTGTCTCTTTTGTGTTTGCTGTTGCATTAGGAATGGCCTGCCACCAGATAAACCCGCCAGCGACGACATCAACCTCTACCAGAAATATATTGCCAGGTATGCAAATCCCTCAGTGTGCTACACCAATGAAAAAATATACCCAAAACAGAGATAAACCTTTTTTTTATCTACTAATGTTTTATTCAGTGATGTAACTAGATTGTAGACTGGTATAAGAATGTTCTATGTGCAGTAAATTGATTAAGAAAAGACTCCAATTTATGTGCTGAGAGGAGGCAGAAAGATGAGGGGTAATGAAAGAGAAATGGTTTGATGGTGGCTACTGTAACCGGTTAAATAAATGCTCACAGTGAGTATAATACTAAAACAGTGGAGAGAACATAATTCTGTGAAACTCCGTGCTGTTAGCTGTGAATGACAAGGAGAGGATATGAGCTCAGGCCAGGTTCTTCTTTAGTCATTTATTGTTAGGCACACGAGGCACTGACTGATCTAAAAAGTCGGTCATTCATACCAACAGGGACAAAAACATCAGAGGTGGGGAGGTATCTTGTGTTTCAGTGGATGCAGAACAATGTCCCTATTTCTGGATTCATTTTGAGCCGACACCAGAAAGGTGATTATCGCTTGTTTGTTTATTCCGTTTAAAAAGAAAGAAAAACAGCATTTGAAAAGCCAAAGTGGCTTTGGCGTTAATGATTACTTCTCCAAGCCATAACATGAAGGGCACAAATCAAAGCCTTGGCACTGACAGACACACATACACACACACACACACACACACTCACACACACACACAAACACACACACACACTCACACGACCACCACTAC